ACAGAAAAAAGAGCGCGCAGACTTGTACCTGGTGACGTTCATTCTCAGTTTGTATATTTTCTAACGATGACATCGATCTATGGAAATACCTCATTCCTTGAGGTGTTTAGACAGCAGTTCAAGGCAGTTCTCTGCAATGCACCCCAGCAAGAGCCCCAAACCCAGCCCATTTGAAGCTCTTTGGTTTCTCCTGCAGACACCTGGTCGAGAACTTGTAAAGGAGAAAGGTCAAAGTCCCAAGCAGGCCTGTGCTTACCCACATTCACAATTGCATATAAGGGGAGACTTTGCACAAAGACTTACTGGGAAAGCATAATGTGATAAGGCAATTACTTTGAGTGAAAACCTGTTTTCTTGCAAAGAGGCTTGGAAATAGTTGAAATTGGGGAGGATTCCTGCAAACACACCAAGAGTTTGTAATCTAGCCTATTCATTTTATGCCCTTTACTACTCATGATATCCTATTTTTTCTACCCTGTTGTCTGGTAACTTCCTAAGGGTTGAGTTTCTGAATCAACACGGCTCACTCTTCCTACGAGGAGGGAATATCTGAGCCTCATTTTGCGGGCTTTGGAGGATGATGTGTCTTGTCAAGGGGCAAAGAGCAAACTGATTGATTTCTGCTTAAAACTATCCTAGTCATTCCGAAACAGACTAGGTAAAAGTTCTCTGTATTAGAAAAGGAAACAAGATACCAATTGTATATTTTCTTTATTTATTCTCTGTAAGTCTGTCAGATGATAAATTGTAAATAACAATGATTAAAGAAATATGCTACTGACGGATCCTTCTTCTGTGCAAATAGCGCCGGCTCCTGGCTTTGCGATCTTCACTCCTTACAGTCTTTCTGGAGTAGTGAGGGGGCAAGGGGGCAGAGCCAAGGGTGTGCGTGGGCTTCGCGGGGTGAGTGGGGTCGGTAGGGGGTCTCTTGCGCAAGCCTGTCTCCTATTCCTTGACTGTGTACGGGAAGGAAAGCGTCTGGGTCTCTGGCACATCCAAACGTACTAGAGACCTGGAGTTTTGTGTCGTCCCATTAGCCCAGCTCCGGAGAGTCCAGTCCAGAATTAATTGAGGATGCTTTATTGTTGTTACAAAGTTGTCTTGCCTGATACATAGAAATCCCTCCCAAATCCAAAGATTGTGTGGCTCGAGACAGACCACGCATACAAAAAGCGACAAAAACTATGAACAGAATACAGACCGAGTCTTCATACGACACATTAAGATGAACCTCCCCTCCCCACCCCCAGCCACCCCCACAACATGTTTCTTGGTCTCTGAAGAATAAATTTATACTTTGAATTTTCTGAAGAATTATATGTTTTTTCAGCGATGGCCATGATAGAGAATGGATAAACATTCTCAGAGGACAATAATAATTCAGGAACACACACTCTGACCCCCAAAGTATCTAGTTTGATTTCAGTGCCAAAGGCCCGGGGATGCAAATATCTGTGTGGTGGGAGTGGGTCGGAGGCAAAGGAGAAAAAAAAGTAACAGACAGAGCAGAGATGTTCAAAGAGGTCCAATTCCATGGTCAACACCTGTTGCCAAGCTTTAAAGGTGGGTCTGAGTGATACAGCATAGGTATATGCTGTACATGTATCTGAGTATGTAATTTGTTCTGAGGACACATATTAAGTCTGCTCTTTTATGTTTCATTTATGTAAAAAAACTTTTTTTAATGTTTATTTCTGAGACGGAGAGAGACAGAGCATGAACAGGGGAGGGGCAGAGAGAGGGAGACACAGAATCCGAAGCAGGCTCCAGGCTCTGAGCTGTCAGCACAGAGCCCGACACGGGGCCCAAACTCACGGACCGTGAGATCATGACCTGAGCCGAAGCTGGACGCTCAACCGACTGAGCCACGCAGGCGCCCCTGCTCTTTTACGTTTTAACTAACAACTTCGGGGACTCTATTTTGCTTAGTATTGAGCACTACAAACTGATTTGTCGCCACTTACAATTTTATATTCATTTCGTATTTGAAAAAGAAGTATACACACTCATCTTCTGGTCCTTGAATCACACTGAACAATAACTCCTTACGGATTATATGTCTTATAATAAGACATATTACCTCTTGCTACCTGAGGAAATGGGTAAAATCCCACTCTTAAAGCAGGTTTGGTCCAGGCTGGATGTACAGTGATTGGAAGAGGAGACAGATAAAAGACACCCACAAGAAATGCTACATGGCCCCACGGTAGCTGTTTTGTTTGTTTGTTTTGTTTTGTTTTTTTCTGACCCTGTTTGCAAACCAGAGACAAGTTAGTTCTGGAGAGGTTTCTGAGGACCCAGAATAGAGCTCTGTCATGGGTGCTAAAGGTAACTTTACTGATCTTTGTCTACCTGAGGACTGTTTCAGGTATCATAAAAGAAACCAAAGATCGGTTTCAGGGTTTAGGGTAGAGCAAAATTTATTTTATAAGGCAGTAAATAGTCAATTTACTATTCTGATCAAGGGGCCAAGGTTTGCCGGGGGTAAACGGGATCAGTCATTGTGTACCAGGTTCTTCTGGTTTCCAGGAAAACCGCTCACAAACAACACAAACTCAAGATGACTCGTTTGGGAAGGTGAAAGTCATACTAACTCACCTATCAGTAAACTATATATTATAACTTTTACTGAGCTGTGTCCTACACGTGATAAAATATTTTTTAAAATACAAAATTCAATGACATGTGTTGTCAACAGATTTCCGTTCTCTTAGTCTCTCTGGCCCCTCTAGTGGTTCAGCCCATCCCGTGAATGTTAAAGAACTTTGAAAGCCCCAACTTCAAATGAAAGAAGGAAGCAGAGACCAAGGTTTCCCCCCTTGGATGGGACGGACATCACGCTAGTAGGAGACTGCCCGTCTCACTCTGCTTTTCCTGCCTTCACTTAACTCATAGTCCTGTACTCTTGTCATCCCCAGATTGTGGTGATGCTGACTCTCCAGAATCTGCGCCCCACCCCCCCACCCCTGCCCTCGTAGGAATGAGTTTGCCACAGGACAAACATGGAGTTATATTCCCTTTACATGTCACTTCTGAGCCCTAGGACACTTTAAAAGGAGCCTTTGGGTCTAGACTGTAAAGATTGGGGTTAACTTTAGCCTTAGGACTCCCAGAAAATATTGTTAAAGTGTGGCCTCTTTAGAATGGTTGAAACATGGGGTAAGGGTAGGAGTTGAGTTCCATCTAGAGAACAATAACGAAGTTTTGGGGCCCTGGGCAGCTCAGTCAGTTAAGCAACCAACTCTTGATTTTGGCTTAGGTCAGGATCATAGGGTCATGGGGTCAAGGACCGAGTTGGGCTCTGCACTCAGCATGGAGCCTGCTTGGATTCTATCACTTTCTCTCTCTCTCTCTCTCTGCCCCTCTTTCCCCCCCCAAAAAAAAATTGAAAAAACTGTGATTATTTAGGAATCCAATATTTAAGTAATAGGATTTATTTTTAATATAATTTTATTGGTATAAGATTAGGGATTTCTAAACGAGCTGATATTATCAGTGGACAGAGAACCAGTTCTGAACTCGGGTTCAGCTGCTCCCCACTCGAAATCAACACTCGAGAAACAAGTGATGGTGGGAAGCAAAGGATGCTTTATTCAAGGAAGCCGGCGACCTGGGAAGATCGTAGAGTAACTTCTCAAAGACCATCTCCCCATCCAGGTGAAGCTGGAGCGTTTTAAAGGAGAAGGCATGGGAGAAGGGAGGGGGGCCGTGTGCAGGAGAAGCAGGCGTCCAGGCAGTTAGTTATGTGTCAACATGACCCTGCACAGACGTGCTGGCCTCCGTGGCACCCGTTTTCGAATGTAGTCCGGTCTTATCATCTGGGAAAGTTTGGTTCTTTACTCCCTAAGGCCAGAGGCACATACACTTGAAGCGACTTAACTCTTACAACCGGTTGGAGTGCTGTTACAATATCTAATTAATCAAGACCTCTATGATTTCAAAAGACAGTATAGATTATATCAGTCTCATATTGCTCGGGGATCATTGCTGTGTATAAATAATTGAAACTGTTACAGAGGCCATGAAGTAGATTAAAGCGAGTTCCCTAGAGTTAGATACATGATGTGGGGAGTTTCTTAGCGTGAACCCGGACCAGTGATGGTCACCTTGTTACCAATGCACGATAAATATAGAAACCTGGATTAAGCGTTAGAAACTTTTATAGCACTTGGGCAGAAGACTCTTTTATGTGTTAAATCTAATAATAAAAAAATCCGGGCTTGAATTTTGCATCCTTTGCTTTTTATTTCATTTTTCTCATGACTCATTGCTCTCGTATTTTTCAGGAGTACCCATCCGGGATGGCTGGGAAAAACAAAAGGGGTTGTTTATCACAGAGTTTGAGAAGCATTGAAGTAGGAGTTTATAGTACACCACTGATAATGTCCTATGAAGTTCTTAGGTTCTCAGGTTCATAGATGTTCCAAATTTTGAAAACTGGCAACTCATCCATGATTGTATAAAAAATTTTTAAGGAAATCAATGTTCATTTTTCCAAAGAGGATTTTTTTTTTTTAGAGGAACAGCAGGTCTGGGACCAGAAGCTTGTCTGTAAAGTGGCACAGTGCCTGGATCTACACATCCCAAAAGGAGTAGAAAACGAAGTAGATGACAGTACCCAAACTTTAACTCCTAGACCCAAATCTTTTCTCTAAAACAAGGAGTTCTGGTGCAAACATCCTGAGGCCTTCCTGCAATAGAGGCCAGGCGGGGGCACCAGGGTACAGATCCCGTGCGTGCCACTCATCCCGCGCCCCAGTGCTCTGCAGGGGGAAAGCCCGACCCAGCAAAGGGCAGGTGCAGCAGCAGCCGCCGGGTGGGTCCCGCGGGACACCTGAGCTACGGAGGGACGACGAGCGTCCGGATTGGCTCGGGTGCGGCTCCGCCCCTCGGCCTACCTCACCCCACCCGGGGCCCTGCGCCTAGAGCGCACCGCCGGCAGCGATTGGAGAAGAGCCGATGACGCGAGGGGAGCACCGTCGGGTCCTGATTGGACAGCAGCGGCGTGGGCGTGGCCGAGGAGGGCTTCAGGTTTCCACCGCTCGCGAGGCAGTGGCGGGTGCCGGCTCCGCGGCAGGGCGGCGGGGTGGGAGACCATGCGGAAAGCGGTGTTGGTCACCGGGGCGAGCAGGTGAGGCGTCCTCGGCGGTCGCGGCGGCGGCAGCGGCGGGTCAGGGGTCTCAGGGAGCAGGAAGTACGGGGCGGGCAACCGCTGGCGACCGCCCCCGGGAGCGCGCGTCCCCGGCCTTGCGCGGTGGGACCTCGCGCGAGCACCTGCCCCGCTGTTCCCGGGTCCCCGGCGCGCGACGTCCCGGCGTCCGGCCGCGCAGGGGGCTCGGTAGCCGGTGCCGGAATTGAACGTGACGGCGGAAAAGCAGCCTGGGGGCGTCGCGGGGGTCCTGTTGGTGTCCGGGACAGGGGCGCTCTTACAGTCTTACAGGAGTGCTGTTACAATATCTAATTAATCAAGACCTCTATGATTTCAAAAGACAGTATAGATTATATCAGTCTCATATTGCTCGGATATGTGTCGACACCCGTGAGCAGGAGGACGGGGTGGGGGTGGGGTGTGTCATTCCATCCAGCACAGAGCTGGACGCCTGCACACACTGTTACAAAGCTAACCGTCTTCTGCAAAGTCCCGGGAGGCGCGCACAGCACCGTCACCGCCCGTTTCTAGTTATTCCAGGGTGGCCCGCGTGGACTCCGCCCCCTCTGCTTTCTCTTTGCACTAATGTGAAGAATGTGTGGAGGCGACACCCCCCCAGCCCCAGCCACTCTCCTGCCCGTTGCAGTGGGGAGGGATGAAGGCGGGGGGTATGTCCAATGTCATCTAAAATCCGTCCACTCGGGGCTACCTAGCCGCATCCCTATTAGCTAAGCCAGCGTGGCAGGTGTCTGTGAGTGGCCTGGTTTAGCGTGTCCTCTCCCCAGTGCCCTGAACAACGGATTCGGGGCTTCCCAAGCTGTCCTTGAAGTGACCCAGAGTGGATTTTGTATGTTTGCTTCTTTTGCATACGTTGTGATGGATGCAATTGGATAATTATCGTAAAGACCTGCTATTCTCAAGTGAGGAGGAACAAGTGTAAATACACCTGATGCTCTGTTGGCAAAGCCCAGGCTCCGGCCGCCCCCAGCCAGGCTGGTCTGAGTACTGTTCCCACCTACTGTGCAGTTTCAAATGCCTTTTCTAAGGAGTTTATCTGTCCTTGACTCGTCCTCTTTCCTGGTGCCCATCTTGTATTTCCTCTTCCTACCTTCCACTTAATCACGTTGAGTTTTTTCTCTCCTAGTGGTTATTCGATCTCGTAGTAGTTGAGAGGAACCTGCCTCCTGCCGCGGTAGTGAAAGATCCATCCAGTCCTTATCGGGAGCTGCTCTTGCCCCTGATAGTGGCCACCATACCAACGGGGCGTGGAGCCCTTGCCCTTGAGTGACCTAGACAGCAAAGTCAAACATGCACACGGGAAACAGCTCATATGATGCTCTTTTCAGCTCTTGCTGGCGATGCTCTGAATCACGTTCATGAGTGTCGTGACAAGTACAGAAGGAACCCTGCCCGCAGGTTAATCGCTGCATTGAAAGACAGCTCTCATTTGCAGTGCAGTTATTTGTGGGTGACAGCGTTTGCAGAATGAGAGAAACAAACGGGACAGCATCCTGAGAGAGGGACTGACTGTTCAGTTGGGGTAGGGGGTTCCTTTCTTTTCATAGTTTTTGAGTCTTTTCTCCCCGCCCGGGCCCCTCATCGGAGCTCACGTTGACAAGGTCGGCTCTCTGAACCGGGGGGAAAGGCCTCTGTGGCACCGCCTGAATTAACGCATGTTCCGTGTCCGAACTGACCCCCAGCGGCGTTGGCCTCGCCCTCTGCAAGCGGCTGCTGGAGGAGGACCACGAGCTGCACCTGTGTCTGGCCTGCAGGAACAGGAGCAAAGCGGAAGCGGTCCGCGAGGCTCTGCTGGCCTCTCACCCCCTCGCCGAGGTCAGCATCGTGCAGGTGGATGTCAGCGACCTGCAGTCGGTGTTCCGGGCTTCCGGGGAGCTCAAGCAAAGGTACGCCTCTTGCTGATGGGTTTTCTCTCACCTGATTGTGTCACACAGCGGCGAACAGAATATGAAAGGGTAGGGAAACCTACAAAGAAAAAGGCGCGGCGCAAGCCGTAGTCGTGCTGGGGAGATCCGTATGGAGCGACTCATCGCACCTTCGTTCTCAGTCGTAATCGTGATTATCTCACGGGGATGAATTTATGAGGACGCCTTGATGCGTGGTCAGTTGCGTGGGCAGCAAGGTGATTCCTTTCTGAATGCAGTTTTTGTATCTCTCCTCTGTGTCACACCTGCATGAAGTAGGTTGGACAGGTGTTGACATTTACCAGGTGAAGAGCCTGAGACGCAGAGATAAGAGGAATGTGGCTGAGAAGGTGGTTGGACTTCCTGTCGGTTGGGTTGGTCTTAGAGCCCACGTCTACATCCTATTTCTTCGGAGATTTTTTCCCCCACAGGTCCATAAAGATTTGTTCACATCGACACAGTAATTGGCGTATAACAGGTATCTGAGAAATATTTCGTGTATGAAGGAATAGGGTCCTTGGACGTATAACTCCCTAGAAAGTGTGCACAAAATCGCATACAGGTGCACAGTGCATTTGTTTTCTGGGGAAAGAAGGCATGCTTTTTTTTTGTTGTTTGTTTTTTTTTGTAAATTTTAAATTCTAGGAAGAATTTATGATCCAAAAAGGTCAGGAGCCCTGCACTGGTCCGTACTGAGCCCCAGAGATATGTGGAATACTTAATTTTCAAACATTTTTGTCCTTGAGGTCCTTTTTTTTTTTTTAAGTTTTTTTTTTAAACATTTATTCATTTTCGAGGGACAAAGAGAGACAGAGCAGTAGCGGGGGAGGGGCACACAGAATCCAGGCTCTGAGCTGTCAGCACAGAGCCCGACGCAGGGCTCAAACCCACGAACTGTGAGATCATGACCTGAGCCAAAGCCAGACGCTCAATGGGCCGAGGCACCCAGGCGCCCCTGTCCTCGAGGTCCTTAAGCCACTTTGTTTCCGTGGACAGTAAAATGACGTCCAGTAAAAACGAGGAAGGCCTTCTTGGTAAAGGCATCTACTGAAGAATGCAACTTAGTGTTTTGCGTGTGGGAATTGCTGGCCGTTTGCCTGTCCCTGTTCCAAGGACACAAGGGACAGGGTGAAGGTGGAAGCCGGCCTTCTTCACCCGGCTCTTCTGGGTGCAGCCTCCCCCTGTTGGGAAATCTCACTTCTCACTAGTCCTGAGCTCCTGGAATTTTCTGCCACATCATCCTTCTAAAAAACTAAGAATATCTACATTTCCTATACCCTGCTCTTCCATAACTTTGACTTTCCAAGTCTGTGAAACCGCACAATAAAGGTATTTAAAAACCCTCGCGTCAGGACAGACGTTTCGAGCTCAAATCAGGTTTCAGGCATCGTTTATCCCCAAACCTTCTCAGCCAGCGGGTCTTTTCTGTTTTGTAGAGATTTCGTGGTGTTTCCTCACTTAGCAGAGAAGAGCCTTTGTCCTCAGTTAAGAGTAGCCCGTGCTAGTACAGTTGACTTTCGAGATTTTAAGTTGTAACGTTCATAGTATTGACTTTTCTCAGTTGCCTTCAAAGTTTCAAGATGTTTAGTTATCACAAGCTTAGTGACTTAGCATTTAGTGTGAGTTGTAGTGGTTTCGCAGGGATTTGAGGCCGCAGGGCAGTAAGGTGGAAGGGAGCACGAAGGTAATCTGTGTCTGCCGTCAGCATTTTGTGCAGCTTTGATGTATTTATTTCATCAGCAGAACAGCTCTTGCTGAGCTGGGTGGTGTCTCCCAAAGTTAGGAAATGATAATTTTAGTAAGAGTCACAAATTTGGGGATGTGTGCTCGTGTCCAGACATATCCATTACTATGTCAAGAATCTCCTGGGCGCCCGGGTGGCTCAGTCGGTTGAGTGTCTGACTTCAGCTCAGGTCATGATCTCACGGTTCATGAGTTCGAGCCCCACACTGGGCTCTGCGCTGACAGTGTAGAGCCCACTTGGGATCCTGTCTCTGCCCCGACCCTGCTCATATCTGTCTCTCTCTCAAAATAAATAAATAACCTTAAAAAAAAAAGGATCTCCTGCACTTAATGGCCCCAAATGGTTGTCCACGATGGTAGACCTGAGGTAAATTCGAGCCAAAGAGAGCTTGGGAAGGTCCCTTCCGTTGGCTAATTCAGCACCATTCCTGACACCTGGGTTTTCTGGCCGCACGACTCTCTTCTGTAAGCTACGTGCAGAGGAAAACCAGTAAGAAATTGTAGTTCCATTTTATCCAGACTAGAGCACTGAATGTTCCGTCACTTAATCTTTGAGAGTGGTAAGTATGCCATTTTACTGAAGCCAGACCTGAATCTGGCATTCTGGTGCAATTTCCACCCTTTGCTAAACATTTCCTTTCCATTCCTAGCAAGATGTGTTCATGTTCTTAGATGGAAGTTTGCAAATTAGGTAACGGAACATCCAACAATAGATGGGCCCACATGACTGGTGCTTGTGTGGATGGCCCAGTAGTATCCACATCAGCATGTTTAAAAATAATTTTTTATAACTTTTTTATTTTTGAGAGAGAGAGAGACAGACAGACAGAGGGTGAACAGGGGAGGGCCAGAGAGAGAGAGGGAGACACAGAACCCGAAGCAGGCTCCGGGCTGTCCGCACAGAGCCCGACGCGGGGCTTGAACTCACGAACCGTGAGGTCCTGACCTGAGCCGAAGTCAGATGCTCAACCGACTGAGCCACCCAGGCACCCCTTCCACGTCAGTATTTTAAACAGTAAATTTAGTAATTAGAGTCATTTGGCTGTTCATTACTTGTAGACTGATCAAGAAATGTTTGTGTGGGATCTGAATTGGTGAGCGTGGATGTATTTTAAGGTCCCAGCTTTAGTAGCTACGGCCCGTGTTGTCTTGGGCTGCACACAAGAGGGCACGGAGACCGTGTAATGCGCAGAAGTCTAGGGGATATTCTGAATATTCATGATGTCTGTGAGTGTCACGAGGGCAGGCTTGCCCCTAGCTCGAGGAGTACACTACATTAAGTCTTACATGGGGTTTCAATATGAAAGTGCTCCCTCTAGTCCACATTTCACTGTTCTCTCCATGACGGGTTCCATGACATGTGCCTTCCCCCCATTCAGCTTCCGTAATCTCCTTGTATTCTTATGAGCCCCCCTCATCTTGTGATACAGAGGAGCCAGCCACGAACAGTGACAGGTTTCCACATGCATCTTTTGCTTTAGTAGACATCTTGGCATTCAGGTTCCAGCATTAATGGATCAGATTGGGCGATTATCAATATGATATAAATTTTACCTATCAACAGGGAAGATTTGACTCTTTTTTAAAAAAAATTTTTTTTAATGTTTATTTTTGAGACAGAGAGAGACAGAGCATGAACGGGGGAGGGGCAGAGAGAGACACAGAATCCGAAGCAGGCTCCAGGCTCCGAGCTGTCAGCACAGAGCCCGACACGGGGCTCGAACTCATGGACCGTGAGATCATGACCTGAGCTGAAGTCGGCCGCTTAACCGACTGAGCCACCCAGGCGCCCCCGTGACTCTTTAAAAAAAAAAAAGGCAAAATGTTTCTAAGACCAGAAGGAGAGTTGGTTTAGTAGACCGAGGGTGGCCGTGTGCAGATCCTAATTGGGAGGACAGAGGTGGGAGGAGTGTTGATCTGAGATGTAACTTCAAAACCCAGCCTAGCTCCCCAAATTCTGTTTGCAGCCACCGTCAAAAAAAAAAAAAAAAAAAAAAAAAGAATACTCAGATATTTCTTGTGGCTAAAGAGAAACCGTTGAGAAAGAAGTGGGTGTAATGTGTGATGTGTTGTACCTTGCCTTCAACTGGCTGTGGCCGCTTTTTTTGGTTCAGAAAGTGTTTTCTGTCCCTCGTAGGCTTTCTTTATTCCAGTTGCTCTCGGGATAATGAACCGTCTTATCGTGGTGTTTTCCTTGCAGGTTTCAGAGATTAGACTATGTCTATCTGAACGCTGGGATCATGCCCAACCCACAGCTGAATATCAAAGCGCTTTTCTCTGGCCTCTTTTCAAGGTAATGTTCAATTTCTAGATGAACCGAGTGGAAGGAACCCGTTCCTTTTTTTGCCTCGTTTTGCCCTCAGCAGGTTAAGTTAGGGGGCTGAGGGGCGGTGGACAAGAGTCGAGACAGGAAGTGTTGCAGCCGCATCATGAAAGAAAAGCATCCGTCTTTTGTGGGAGAGGCTGGAAGTCCTGGATCTCAGGGTGTTCTAGGTCTCCAGGACATTCCAAACGGCTGGATGTTTCAGAAGGTGCATTTCTAGTCTGCCTGAGTGTGATTAGCAGCAAGAACATTTCAGAATCAGGCAGCGTTGTCTGCAAGACTCCAGTATCCATGAGACCTGCTTTGGAAGTATCTCCCAGCTCTGTGGCAGGTGCTTTGCCCAGTGAGCTGGGGAGCGCGCCCAGCTAAAGGTGTCCCTGGGAGATTCTCCATACGGAGTAGCACAGTGGCTCCAGAAGTGTTTGACCGTGACCTGTAGTAAGAAATATACCTTATTTTGTGACCTCGTGTACTTATAAATAGATATTCATACTCTTTTTGCATGCTCCTTACTACGTTGCTACTTTTATTTTACTTCTCTTCCATCACACACACACGCTGGTCTTGACCTAATAAGTTGATCTCGTGGCAAATCACCGTGTTAATATGTTGGGTGCTTCAGGAATTCCCCGTAGAAAACTAACCTGTGTAACTTTCGCAGTTAAACATCAGTTTGTGCTGGGGTGAGACATTTTCCCCTTGGCATGGCTGTTCTTTCCCCACAGAGGTTCACCTGCACCCCAATGCGGGAAAAGGTGAAGAGACTTTTAGCAGCAGGTTTTTTGTGTCAGGTTCCTGTTGGTGGTAGGAGTTAGAGGTATGTAAATATGTCTCTGAATTGGGAGAAAGGAAGCATTTTTGCGTCTTATTATGCACTCACAGTGACACAGTCTGAGAAATCGACATTTTTATTCTTTTTAAAAAAACGTTTAGGGCGCCTGGCTGGCTCAGTCGGTTAAACATCCGACTTTGGCTCAGGTCACCATCTCACGGTTTGTGAGATCAAGCCCCGCGTCGGGCTCTGTGCTGACAGCTCAGAGCCTGGAGCCTGTTCGGATTCTGTGTCTCCCTCTCTCTCTGCCCCTCCCCAGCTTGTGCTCTGTCTCTCTTGCTCTCAAAAATAAATAAAACATTAAAAAAAAGCCTTAAAAAAATGTTTACTTATTTTGTGAGAGACAGAGTGGGGGAGGGGCAGAGAGAGAGAAGGAGAGAGAGCATCCCAAGCAGGCCCTGCACGCTGTCAGCACAGAGCCCGACACGGGGCTCGAACTCACAAACCATGAGATCATGACTGGGGCCGAGATCGAGTCGGCTGCTTAACCAGCGGAGCCACCCGGGCACCCCACGTGTTTTTATTCCTGATGTTATAGGATCAAGGAAAATGTAGTTTTGGGGCAGGGGAGGGGCAGCAGGGAGCGTTTTTCAGAATCTTCAGTTAAAGAAGCTTTTAAAAGTCATACAATTGTCTTCTCCTGTTTCAGAAAAGTGATTCATATGTTCTCCACAGCTGAAGGATTGCTGACCCAGGAAGATCAAATCACTGCCGACGGGCTCCAGGAGGTGTTTGAGACCAACGTCTTTGGCCACTTCATCCTGGTAAAAAGACTTGAGGCTCATTCGGCTCACATTAGTGTTGCAACCTTGAAGGCTCACATGGCTACAGCCCAGGGCTCTTTGTTCAGCTCACAAATTCCTGGCTAGCATTAAGTCGTTGAGTACTTAAATAGGATGATCGCTGTACTCTCTGAAAACATTGCTTCCCTAAAGCAGTGTATCGATACATTAATTTTTTCTTTTGACATTGGCTCTAGAGAGTGGAGGGAGAGGTGCGAAAGAGGCACACGGCGTGTGTGTGTGTGTGTGTGCGCGCGCGTGCGCGTGCGTGCATGCACGCATGCGCAGAACTGTGAGAAAGTATACCAGTCCTGTTCTGAATGTTCTTTGACACTGGGCTTGGCATCAGATAGGATGGGGGTGGTGGGCAAGCCGTTGTTAAATGGGAATTCATACCCGATCTTTTATTGATTGGGTTTCTTGGGTGTGATTGCGGATTCTTGGGTGTCTATACTGCATTACAGTTCCAGGCACGCGCGTGGAGTTAAGCAGGAGATGTGCAGTTTGCCTGGCTTGTTCAGGGCTCTTGCCTCAGGCTTGACCCCATGGGACAGCTTTACTGTCTGCGTGAAGTAATGCCAGACCACGTTGCTGGTTGCCTGTAATTCCTTGGTGTTGGAGGGACTCCTTCTGATGCTGGTTGGCCAGCGCAGAACCTGTATTTCTGACACCTTTTTATTCGCCGCCACCTGTCTCCACCTTAAGCCTAATTTCCCTTAAAATTGGACCTCTTTCAGCACCAGCCTGTATTTGCAATAAATGAAGGTGTAGCCAAACTCTGGAACAGTATGGACCCGTTCAAAGACATGTGATAAATATTTTGCACTTCTGTGGGACAGCTTCTAGCATTTTATCATAAAGAAGGACTAGCGAGGCATAATGTGTATAGTGTGGTCTCGTGTATGTAAACACACAGGAGAAGATGTATCCTCACAGAGTGTAGATAAATGTGTATAATATTTCTAGAATGATACAGAGGAAGCTGGGAGCACTGGTCACCTTGATGAACTCGGGTACCAGGGTATCAGCAAGGAGGGGGACTTTCATGTTTCAGTCCATAACCTTTAGTGCTGTTTATTTAATGCCATGTGGTGTTACTTTTTCAATGGCAAAAGTTCGTTAGAACGCAAAGTCGGAACGGGATTGAATTCTTGTCTGGTCTTTGTTTTTATACCTTTCCACAGATCAGTTATCTAGTGTTTCCTGTATCTTTTTATGATACTCGTTCTTTGCCCTCTTCTTGAATTATTAAATTAATCGATAACGATAGAAGATAATTATTGCTATTACGACTCTGTGAGTTTTTTGATGAATCTAGTGTTTAAAAATTAGGTTGTTCCGAAGATCAAGCATTGGGGTCATCTGGGTGAGGAGAGTGGTGGCCGTGGGCAGAGTTATAGCATAGGTGTCCTGCTGACACGACCCAGCCTGTGGATCCTTTGACAGGTGGGCAAGGCAGCTGGAGTTTGGGAATTGATTTGTCTAATAAAATAATCAGGAGGCTTAGAATGCTTCCCACTCTCTTCAAATAGGTTTAAGAATCTTACCACTTTCTATGGAACACAAACTTGCATTCTAGGTTCCAGGTGTCCGTGCATTTTGTAAACGGATCCATCCCAAGTGTGATCCATATGCAACATGACCAAACTTTTAGGATCGTTACAGAGCATAGAGGTAATTTCTGTGAAGTTCCAAGCACAGAGTGGTACCAGTTAAACTTGATTTAATCTCGTGTTTTTGAGTTCTCTTGCTTGCATTTGATTTATTCATCACAAATGTGGATGGAGTGCATCTGGAACCTTTCCTAGGTTTTTCTTTAGTAAGTTTTTTGTTTGTTTTCCAATAGTTTGATTTACAGAATTACTGCAGATATAGTACAGAGAGTTCCTGGACCCCCAGTTTTCTGTCTCATTTAACACCTTTCCTTGATGTAGTACATCTGTTGCAATCTGAGAACCAACCTTGTTATTAGCGGGAGTCCAAACTTCATTCAGATTTCTTCAATCTTCTACGATCCCATCTTGGATACCACAGTACATTTAGTAGCTGTCCCCTTAGGTTCCCCTTGGTTGTGACAGTTGTTCAGACTGCCCTTGGTTTTGATGACCTTGACAGTTTTGAGGATCACTGCTGAGGTATTTTGTAGGCAGGCCTCAGTTGGGATTTGTCTGAAGTTTTTCTCGTGGTTAGACTTGAGTCATGTGTGGGAGGAGGACCACAGAGGTTAAGTACCATTCTCGTCACATAATATCAAGGGTGTGAACTGTCAACGTGGCTTATCAGCATTGATGTTCTCTTCAATCCCCTGGCTCAAGGTAGTGTCGGTCAGGTTTCTCATTGTCAAGTTCCTGTCTGGTTTTTCTCTCCTTTTCCATATTGTACTCTTTGGAAGAGAGTTAGTGTGTGTAGCTCACACTTAAGAGGTTGTGTTTGACCCCCTGAAGGGTCGATTAGCTACCTAAATTATCTGGAAGCTTTCTGCAAGAAAGATTTGTCTGTTCCCCGTTTAATTCTTTTTTTTTTTTAATTTTTTTTTTTAAACATTTATTTAGTTTTGAGAGAGAGTGAGTAGGGTCGGGGCAGAGAGAGAGAGAGGGAGACACAGAATTTGAAGCAGGCTTCAGGCTCTGAGCTGTCAGCACAGAGCCTGATGCGAGGCTTGAACTCATGAATCATGAGATCATGACCTGAGCTGAAGTTGGATGCTTCACCAACTGAGCCATCCGGGCGCCCCCCCGCCCCATTTAATTCTTTATTCAATCATTTCTTGGTCGATTTGATCTCAAAAAAGCTAAAAAAAAAATCATTTACTATATTCACGTGGGCTTGCGGATACTCATTTCCTACTTTGAGTTGTAAATACCGTATTTTGTGCAAAAAAAATGATTTGCTCAAGTTGTGTCCCTTTGGGCCATTGGGGGTGCTCTCTGTTGGATCCTGCATGTCTTTGACGTAGCCTCATTGTCATGGTTTCCCGTTTATGTTTTGAGCATGCCTGTTCTGGCACTACACGATGCTGTGGGCTCATCGGGTACATTTTCTGCCCCAGACCTAGAATCCGCCTTTTCTCTAAGGAGATCTGGTTCCTCTTGCTGGACACTGGTATTAGAAACCAAGATTCGAGGGCTCGTTGCTATTGATGCATCAGTAGCTTCTAGGCTGACGGAGCAGGGAGAGAATCCGTGCATAGTAACCCATGTATATGTTAGTGTATATTATAGTGATGTTATAGTATATGCTATAAATATTTTTATATGTAACCATCTGTGTCTTTATGAAGCTAAACATCAGTTCATCTGACGTCTCGAACTCATTTCCACATGGATCATTCTGGCCTCCTCTCTCGCGTGTCTGTAAGAGCCGGCCCGGCAACGACCTACCTGTTCAGTCGCAGCACACATTTATAGTAGTTTCCCGGTTGTTACCCTGTACGCCTCCGGTAGATTTCGATCCATTTTTTGTTCCTTTTTTGTTCTTTTTTAAATCTCCTTCAGATTCAGGAACTGGCACCTCTCCTCTGTCACAGTGACAGTCCTTCCCAGCTCATCTGGACATCGTCTCGCAATGCGAGGAAATCGAATTTCTGCCTCGAGGACATCCAGCACAGCAGAGGCCAGGAGCCCTACAGCTCCTCCAAGTACGCGGTTGACCTGCTCAGCGTGGCTGTGAACAAGAACTTCAACTCGCGGGTGAGTCCTGTCTCCGTGACGCAGGAATGGCAGGGTGGCGATTTCTGAACTACAGTTGATTTTCTGGTCGCCTTGGCTTTCTGTTAGAAGATGCGGTACTGTTTCTTGAGCAGGATTGCCGTGAAGACAAGGGAAGACATGAATAGGAGTGACAGGTGGTGCGTGTCAAAGTTTTAGGGCAGAGATAATTAGCTCCTGGCCTTGGGCACACGGGCATTCGTTCGCCGTCCCATAGCTCCTCAGCAGCTCTGGCTTCCGCAGCAGAACGGGACCCACGAATGATGCGAGTACCTACTATGAAGCACCTGCTGCGTCTCAGGTGCTGTATCTTTACCTGTGTGTGTCATTCAATGCCTTTCCTGTCCCAGGGACAGTGCGGACAGTAGGTCTGAGTATCCCCATCTTCAGATGAGGGTTAGGTGATTGCCCCCAGCCGTCACGCACCACTCGTTACTGATGGTAGAGCTCAGAGTTGAGCCCAGGGCCGTGTGACTGTAGGGTGGAATTTTCCCACTAAACCATGCTGTGTCCCAGTGTCTGCCATATCAGGTGCTACAGGACAGCCAGGGGTGACAAAGCCTTCTGCACAGTGGGCTTGGGTGACGCTCCAGAGCTCTGTCTTTATGAGGACGCTGGGTTTAGGGGGTGTGTCTTTGCAGAAGGCAACCCTTGTCAGTCTCGCTGGCTCCTTGTGGCCTCTGTGGTCTGGAACTCACTGCTGCTCTGAATGTCTCTCTTGTTCGGGTCTAAAGTCTTAACTGAAAATCTCCAGTCTTTCCCATGGCATTTTCCTTTGTTTGCTTTGACTCTGCTGTTTGAGTGTGGGACTGTGGGGAAATTTAATTCCACTAATATTTACAAAAGACCTACCGCGTGTAGGGCACTGGGCCAGGCTTAGGGTTGCAGAGAAAGGAGAGAGAAAAAGATAACCAAGGAGCTGTCTGCCCTTGCCGGACCTTCTCTCATGATACGTCAGAAATAGTCTAAGACTTTTTTTTTTTTAATTTATTTATTTCTGAGAGAGAGCACACGCAGGAGAGAGGCAGAGAGAGGGAGACAGGATCCGAAGCAGGCTCCGCACCGTCAGCGCAGAGCCTGATGCAGGGCTCGAACTCGTGAACTCTGAGATCGTGACCTGCGCCGAAATCGAGAGTCAGCCAGTTAACCGACTGAGCCACCCAGGCGCCCCCATAGTCTGGGCCTTCTGTGATAGTCTAGACCTGGTTTATTCTGGAATGGACACCTTGTCAGGTGGAGCTCTCTCTTCTGTGGTCCGGGTCCTAGAACCGTGCCTCTCAGTGAAGAGTCGAAGCTGAGAACATTCCCCTAGAACTGGATTGGAATCCTTGGACAAATTATCTCAACTCCCCGTGCCTCAGTTTCCTCATCTGAAAAACAGTGCCTGCTTCACAGATTCGTTAGGAGGGTTGAAGAGGGGCCGGGTGTGATGCAGTCGCAGCCGTGGTCTCGGAATGCACTTGTGCGTGCGCGCGTCTGCACGTGTGTGCACACGAGGGTGTGCCTGCCCACACGCACCTGTCGGGTTTGCAGGTGTGTGCAGATGTGAATGTGATCGTGTAGGTGGTGTGTGCACGTGTGGAGGTGCCCCGGGTGTACAGAAGGCGTGTGGTCTATGTGTGTGCGCCTGTGCTGGTACGTGTTTGTGTGGCCATCATCGTCAGGATTATTATTGTTATTATTATTTCTTGAGTTCGTGTGTTGGTCTAGTTGTTGGCCCCCTTCTGAGGTTCCTTGAGATGTTTAAAAAGTTGTCACAACTGCTTGTTTCTGGCAGCTCCCTTTTGGGGACAAGGTCAGAGTGGATTAGCTGCTCTTTTCGTAAAAGGCTCTGGGATTTTGCGTATGTTTTAATTGTCCAGTAAGCTTTGGGATTTCATCTTTTACACGAAAGGGAGTTTTGGCTGATGCTGCTGCCTTCTAACGTCTGTATGATTGGTTTTCCTTTTTTTTTATATATACGTTTATTTATTTTTGAGAGACAGAGAGAGACAGAGCATAAGTGGGGGAGGGGCAGAGAGAGGGGAGACCCAGAATCGGAAGCAGGCTCCATGCTCCGAGCCGTCAGCACAGAGCCCGACGCGTGGCTCGAACCCACGGACCGCGAGATCGTGACCTGAGCCGAAGTCGGACGCTTGACCGACGGAGCCACCCAGGCGCCCCGGAAGAACTCCATCCTCTTAAAGGCTTGTAGCACTGGAAATGCTGGCGGGTCTGTGCAGGCTACCTGGTAGAGTTTAATCGTTCATTGATGACCCGTCACACGCGTCTGCGAACCACTCAGGTCCTCACAGCTGATTCCCTGTGATGTGTGGGGGGACCGTGTTCTTGGACGAGGCTGCCTCCTTGTTTGTTTCTTTTGTTGCTCAACGTTAGAACATCACGTGTCTCAGGGACCTTGGGTTTCAGTTCACAGGTTTCTTCGCTTAGGACTGAGTAGGCCCTGACTTCCTAGCTAGTTGCCAGAATAAGAAATCCTCCTCAGCTGTCTGCGGGGGGGGGAGCTGTGTTGCTTTCCTGGGAAGAATTTGGGGTCGCTGATGAGTCCAGACTCTTAACTGTTTTCAGGGGACCTTTGGTGGACCACAGGATCCCTGGGCATTGGATTGTCTGTGTCAGGCGCCATCAGACCTCTGCCCCTCTGAATAAAGAAAGCAAAACTCTAGCTTCTGTTACCCAGGGCGCTTTCTGTCCACTGACCAGTTGGTGGTACACTGATGTGTCCTATTTCCTTTTAAAAGAAAACATAAAATTACAAGCGAGAAAAGTAGGAGTTAAAATGGTCAGCGGCTACGTGAGGTAAAATGTAGTAAAAATTGACCTGAATAAACCAGCAAGACGAATCCCAGTGCTCCGGGGATTAGTAAAGGCCGCACAGGGCCCTTCCTGGTAGCTGGGCTCTCTTCTTAGGGCAGATCTTTCTAAAATGACAGGTGCCGGGCTAGGGAGCTGATGGAGGGCTGGCTGTGCGAGGGGTGTCTTTGTGGCGCCACACGCAACCCTCCATTCCCCTCTCACGGCACGAGCTCCCCCCTCGAGCTAGAGGTGTGCTTCTTCTGTGCCTGCGGGGGGCAGACCCAGGCTTTTAGGTTTGGCTGTCTGTGACGTGTAGATCCGAAACTTCTTGAAGGCAGACACCGTACTGGAAATGTCTTCTTCATCTTCAGGACTTACCACGATCAGTAAACTGGCCTTCGATTACGCCAACACGTCGCAGACTCGGGTAACCAGATCCTGCTTTTCTCTTCCAGCCTCTAGTGTGGCTGTTCTTTGTACTGGGAGTTTCTTGAGAGCAGAGAAGTGCCTCCGTAGCGAGCTCTCCGCACGTGATTCTTACGCCGAAATGGCTTGCCCACCTTCGAGGGCAGCTCAGAGCACAAACCGTCCGCGCCCTGGCTTCCTGGCTCATTGGTGTCTCTCCTGTATTCAGGAGCATGTAGATGGGCTGCGTTGGTGTGCACGGAATTTGAGTCTTACGACTGCTCCTGTCTCTGCTCCCAGGGTCTGTATTCCAGCGTGGTGTGCCCGGGTACCATGGTGACCAATATGACGTGTGGAATTCTCCCTCCCTTTGTGTGGACACTGCTGATGCCAATCATATGGCTGGTGAGTGACAGACGCTTCTGCTCCTACTTTCTCTTCGACTTGGGACCCAAAAGGTGTGTTTAAGGGTTGGGAAATGATCTAAGCAGTTGAACCAGAAGGTGGCAGGGTTTCACTTCGTCGGAGGTTCCTTAGTAAGGAACCTCTACGTCTCCCGCAGCACCACCCATCTGAATGGCCCCTTCTGTTTAAGGGAATGAGCCCTTGATCATGCATCGTAGCTCCCAAGAGTTCTAGGATGGCATAATTTGGGGAGATCTGTGTTAGGTGACGTTAAAGTGGATTTCTCTGAGCCGTCAGTGCATTGAAAGTTCCCACAAGAAGGGAATGGCTGTGCATTGTGTGACCACGGAACCACGTTTTTGCTCATTTGTTTTTGTTTTGTGCTTTGGCCATGTGGCAGGACCGGAGTTTTCACAGCACACGTTAGAAAATGCTTGCTTACGGGAAAGGTTTCTCTCTCGCAGAGCTCCGGCGGAAAACGTCCCTCTGTGGTGGCAGGCAAGGGGAAAAGAGGAGAAGGAAATACGCCTCCGTGTTAAAAGTGGCTGGCTCAGAGTGATGGCGATTATGTGATATTTCTCTTCTAGACTTGTGATACTTCAGTGTTCAGTGATACGAAATGCAAGTTAACCTTTTTCAGTATGCGAATGAATAATGCTTCGGTGACTCTTCTAAACCACAAAATGACTGTCGTTTTCTTCTCCTCAGCTTCGCTTTTTTGCAAATGCTTTCACTCTGACACCGTACAATGGAACAGAAGCCCTGGTAGGTCGCTAGAGTTGCAGTAGCTTGTACGGTCGCTAAGCGGATATAAATGTATTTACGTACGTGTTTTAAATGTTTACTTACTTTTAAGAGAGAAGGAGTGCGAGCGGGGGAGGGGCAGAGAGAGGAGGGACAGAGGATCCGAAGCAGGTTCCGTGCTGACAGCAGAGAGCCCGACGCGGGGCTCGAACTCACGCACCGTGAGATCTCGGCCTGAGCCAGAGTCGGATGTTCAACCGACTGAGCCACTCAGGTGCCCCAGAGCGGATATAAATGGCAGCTCACTGATAGTGGAAACAATCTCAACAGAAACGATAGGCTATGTAAATCATCAGCGTCCTGTTTTGGACTAAGGCCGAGTGCAGAGTATTAGGAGTGAAGTTTAAGTTTAGTATCCACCGTAGCCCTGGATACCATGGTTGTAGGGACAGCACGTCTGTGGAAGCAAAGTCCGCCAACAGCTAGAGAGCAGAGCAGCGGAATACTACAAGGGCAGGCAGAGCAGGATGGTCGCCGGGCCCTCGGTTCCATGGAGAAGGTCATCTTGCAGGCCAAGAGTACAGGCGACACAGTCCAACTCCCGTTTCCTTATACGAAGATTCTCTTTCCTCTGTTTAAATATTAGAGAATCGGTTTGTTGCTTTGTTAGAAAACCAGTGCATTTCCTTAAATCACACGTGACAAGTGGATCCCGTGTGGCAGACATGATTAACTACGCAAGTGCTGTCTCTGAGGGTTTGTCAACCCAGGGCGCAAGGGTGCCCTCTGCTAACGGATCTGAATTGTCACACGAGATGAAGCTTATCTGTCCTCTGTCACTGTAGTGCTTGTACTTAGCAGCCTCTTAAATCTTGGCTGAGTTGAAATTGACCAAGGAAAACATGAAAGAAATTGGTTGCCACTCTTGTTTTGGTAAACGTTGCAGAAATGAATGCATTTATTATAGGGACACAAATTGATTGTAGAAGCAAGTGCTTTTAAGCCACTTCTAATGAGTCCTTAATATATTTGCCAAAGCATTAGAGACAATGTGATTACTCATTCACATCCCAGATACTGAAAATCAGGTGTGGCGGTCAAGTATATACTGAGTGTCGGTGGTGCGAGGAACACTTAGAAGACAAAACCTCCAGGTACTAAGGCGCTTAGAGTCGTATTTGGAAAAAAAGAGAATGTCGAAAATAAAAATAGGCGAGAAAATAAGACATTCTGTCATCGGGTGGTAAGTCCTCAGACTAATCACCGGGGGATCAGTGGGAGCCGGGCTGGTTGAAGCAGGCTTTGCTTCCTTGGTCTGGGCTCTGAGGGATAAGTTGGCTCTGGATAGGACAGCGTGACCCACGTCACAGTTTAAAGAAATCTGTTGTGACCCTGCTGTTTTTTCCTAAAATGTCGATGGATGAGTCACTATCCCCCTGACTGCCATTTAGTGATGGTTGTAGATGCTGGTGGATGTGGATGGATGGGGATTTGGGTATAGCGCACGTGCAGGAAGGATCTCAGGTGAGATTCACCTCCTTACGTGGGCTAAGCCGGAGTGGCCGAAAGCACAGTGGTTGAGGGTGTGGACTCCGGAGTTCTACGGATTCTCTTCAGATCCCACGTCTCCGGTTTCTGGCTGCGAACGCCGGGGCACATGTTTTCATTTGCTTTTATCATTATCTGCAAAACAGGAATTCCAGGCACGGACGAGAGGAAGCTTTACTATAAAGGGTTTTGTGTGTTTCAGCGTTAACGATTTCAAAGAAAACTGTCCTAATGAAAACAGTATAGTTCTGGCAGGTGCATGGACAGGTCAGTGGAGTAGAATAGGAAATTCAGGACAGGCCCCCAGCACACAGGCATCTAGTATATGGCAACGATGGCCTTCCAAATTAGTGGGAGAGAGGGGTTATTCTGGAAATTGTGCCAAAAAATAGAATAGGATCTTCATACCTCACACCCAAATAAAACTCTAGATAAATTCAAAGATTTACACATGACGGAGTTAAAATATATAATGACTAGAAGGAAATATGGGGGACGTTTCTAAATAGTCTAAGAGTGTGGGGGCATCCTTACTCCCAGGAACAGACTGAACATTTTGATTAAATAAAAGTAATCAAATTTTGTGTGACCCAAATCCTCACTGTAAATCTACTCCAAAGACTAACCACGATGCCCAAGAAAAGGTACCTGGCACTCATATCGCACTAACAGGTTACGTTTCTTCCTGGTTAAGGAGCTTCAACAGTCCAGAGAAACAACAACCTATTGGAACAGTGGGCAAAGGGTGTGAACAGAGAGTTCTTAAACTGTCTTAATCGCACGGAAAGGTGCTCGACCTTACTCATACTAGGAGGCAGCCCCCTTAAGGCTGTAATGAGATGGTTTCTCAACTCTGATCAGCAAAGATTAGAAAGTTTGGTACCGCACTGTCCTGTCAGGGGCATAGAGAGAGAGCGTTCTCCCATCTAGCCAGGGGGAGGGTTGACTGACGTAGCCTGGATCAAGGACTGTTGGGCAAGATCATTCAAAATACACGCACGTCCCCTTGACCCAGAAATTCCATCATTGGTATTTATCTTACAGATGTTCTCAGACTTAGATCATTCGCTACAGCGTGGTTTGTACTAGCAGAGGCTGGAGACCGCGTGTATGTCCATCCTTTGGAAATTGATTGTGTACATTACATCCTTGATTGATTGTGTCAATTTCCATCCATGAGATAGAACACTGTTTCTTTAAAAAAGAATGAAACAGCTCTCTATTTACCGAGTTGAAAATATCTCAAAGGGCCTATTGTTCAAATCAAAATGGCAAAGTATCGAATAGTGTACATTTGGCTTCCATTTGAGTAAGAGAAAAGAATATACAAGCTTTTAAGCAAATACCTTTTCTTTGGAGGAATATGTAAGATACTAGCTTGCTTCCAGAGGGGAGAGCTAGGTGGCTGGAAAATTGTGAAGGTAGGGAGACTTACTTTTTACCAGTACATCTCCTGAATGGTGTTCACGTTCAGGCCTATTAAGAACGTGAAATAACGTAACAATATATCGTGTACTTACCGTGGCATGAGCCGAGTATCAACTCTGAAAAAGCCCGTCTCTATGCTGTGAACTTCAATTTGGGATTAAGGGGAGAGATGGCTAAAACACAAGGGGTTCTTTGCTTTAAATAAGTTTTCAAAGAGGACCATTAAGCAGATTGCCCTACTTCCTTCAGGGTACAGTAGTGGTTCATGAAGACGTTACAGTTCGCTGATGATATTCAAGAGAAGGTTTAGAGTTTGTTTGGAGCTTGGTAAAGTGCTGATTATCAATCCCCACCAGCCTCACTCATGTCGGGCAGAAGAAGAAAAGAATCATGGACACCCTCTTCCTTCCTAGGTATGGCTTTTCCACCAAAAGCCCGAGTCTCTCAATCCCCTGACCAAATACCTGAGCGCCACCACTGGCTTTGGAAGCAATTACGTAATGACCCAGAAGGTAAATGTGTTTACACTGTGGCTCGGCCGCTGAACTGGCCCTCCCGGCGTCCCGGCTTCCCATCCCTCCTTTCCCGTTCTGGTCACTGGCATCTCACTGGCCTGTTTTCCTTTCCATCTGCTCCCTCCTGCCTCCTGCCTCCGGGCCTTTGCATGTCCTCTGCCTGAATGTCTGCCTCTTCTTTCAACTGACGGACAATTTCTGCTTACGCTTGAGACCTCGGCTTGTCCCTCAGCCCTGTGTGACCCGGTAGACCAGGTCCAGTGCCTCCGTCGTAGGCTCTCTTGACATCTCATACCTCTTCTGTGTAGGACTCATTCAACGCCGGACTTCTCTGGCCAACTGTAAGCTCTGTGAGCAGGAGGATTGTACCCCCTTTTCGAGCACGTTGCCTCGCATGTGATAGGTGCTCAATAGATGTGCTGCAACTTGGGTGAAACGTGAAGCGTCTGAGTGAAGTTAACTTCCCTTTGGGTGTTCAGTTCTGCTCGCGACGGTTACTGGCTTCCGTGCATTGGTATTTTCAGGAGGCGCGGGATGAACTGTGGGAAAAAAACCCAGAGTGCTGTTTTTTAGACTCCGTATAGTCTTCCGGAAAGAAGTCACACATGGAGTGACATATGAGAAAATAGAGAAATTTCTTCTGAACTTACAGAACTATTTTTGTTGTATTTTTGTCCCTGTTAGCAAGGTTTATTTCAGCCTCCCATTTCCCACTGCCTCATTTACGTGGGAGGCATCGGCATAAAATAAAATGAGATGGAGGCAGACCAGTTACCCCAGCGACGTCGCATAATCGGCGGTGGTCTTGTCTGTGTGAGGAACGTGAGGCCTGAGGGGACTGTACTCTCGCTTCCCATGGTGTCTGTTTACTAACAATGAACCTCTGAACCTCCAGCATTTTCCAAAACATGCCCTGTGGGATTCTGGTTCCTTGAGAAGATTTGCAAAAAGCAGTTTGTCAGCCAAGTTTGAGAAATGCCTCGTATTTTATTCCCCCTTTTCCGAGGCCTCCACGATGCACACTGGCCCAGGACAGGCTCTGAGAAGTTGCTGCAGTTCGTGTGTGTGTGTGTGTGTGTGTGTGTGTGTGTGTGTGTGATGTCTCATCCTGCTGTTTCTGTTTCCTGACTCTATGACTTGTTTTTCCCTTCAAATTTTATGTAACACTTCATAGTATCCTGAAGAAGAAATCCTTGGGAATTCTATTGTAAGTTAGTAAGCTTCCTTGTTTACAAATTTTTGTTTTCTTTAACATTTGTTCAGTTTTGAGAGGCAGAACATGAGCAGGGGAGGAGCAGAGAGAGAGAGGGAGACACAGAGTCCAAAGCAGGCTCCAGGCTCCGAGTTGTCAGCTTCAGTGCCCCACACGGGGCTCGAACCCACGAGCCACAAGATCATGACCTGAGCCGAAGTTGGATGCTTAACCGACTGAGCCACCCAGGCGCTCCAATAAGCTTCCTTTTAAAAAGGCCCTTAGAGGGAATGCCTTGTTTATGAACGGGGAGAAAATGTTTAATTCCATACACCAAAATATTTTACTGGCATTTCATTGAAATGCATTGAAGAAAGTGTTTTAAGTGTTGGTTAATTCAGAGAAGTCAGCTTTCTCCTCTGTTCAGAGGTGGGGTTGAAGGAGATCTCGAACACCTCTAACAGTTCCAATATGGAAAAATGCTTGACAGGGTTTGAAATGAATGTAAATGTTATTTCCAGAATGTTAAGTTTTCTTTGATTTTCAGCCTCTCAGCTCTGGGAAGAAAGAGACTTTTTTTTCCCGAAGTTTAGGCTCGGTGTTGACCTGAAAAGAGACACCACTTTATTTTATAGGGGGTGAAAGCTTGCTTTTACATACAGTGTATCACTTAAAACAGAAGAGTGTGAAATAACAGCAGGTTAAACAAGATGAAAGCTTAGATTTCTTGCGCGTAAAAGCAGTTTTGGAGAGAGGTAGTGTTGGGCCGGTATGGCACCCCCCAAACTGTCAGGTCCCCAGGGTCCTTCCGTCACCCCTCTACCATCCATAAGGTGTGACGCTCATTCTTATGGCTCAAGAGAGCAGTACAGAAGCAGGGAGAAAGGAAGGGATGCCCATGCCTGTAAAGGAGTCTCCTGGGCAGTACGACATGCTTCCACTCAGACCTCGCTGGCCAAAGCGTGAATGCATGGCACCCAGCGTCTTCAATGGAGCCTGGACATGTGGGCTTTTATCTGGAGGGCAGTGCACGCAGCTGAAACTCGGGCTCCGTATGAAAGAAGGTGGACATTGGGTAGATGGCGGTTTGAGTTCAAAAAAAATCTTTTGATCTTTCTGTTTTGTCCTTATATGACAGTCGGTTGATGTCTTCTGTTACTGGATGCACAGGGGTTAGTGGGGAGAGAAAAACCAGACCTTTCAGTCTTGCTGGGCAAGGGCAGCGTCGGTAGGTTTGGTGAGTGTTGGAGTTTGGTCTTAACACGTCCTCAGGATCTCAGAGTCGGAAACCCCAGCCCTGTCCTCCCGGCCCTGTTCTCTTGTTTCTGGTTCTCTAATGTATGTTGAAGGCCTTCCTTTTACACAGAGCCCATTTGTTTCATTTTTCCTCTCTGGTCATCGTTGTCTTCGCTTCTTTTCTAGATGGACCTAGATGAAGACACCGCTGAAAAATTTTACCAAAACTTACTGGAACTGGAAAAGCACGTTAGGGCCACCATTCAAAAAAGAAATCATCAGAGCTGACCGTTATCCCCTCAGAAACACTGTGTGCCTTCTGTGCATTCTGGACTTCCGTTGAGTTGGATGATGTGCACTTTTGGGAGACCGTGAACTAGAAGGGTCTCTTTTCCTTCCTTTCAGGATTCTAAGACTGTGTGTGTGTGTGTGTGTGTGTGTGTGTGTGTGTGTGTGTGTGTGCTTGCGCGCGCGCTCGTGTGTGTACCCATGAGAAAAAGATTGGTAAGTAAAATATCAGTTAGATAGTCTCTAGGATGGTGTCACAGCAAAATTGTGCGAGGGTCACCCAACCAAGTATGTGCTCATTGGTTCTGCCAGCTGGAGCCCAAGGCCCACGGCGTGGGATGAGGTGTGGACCCGAGTAGCCGTGACACAGGCACTCGCTGGTCTTCCACTGGGCCTGCTCGAGCAGGAGAAAGTACTGGTCGCCCTCTGAGCGGTAATCTGAGCTCTGTCCCTTTTCTTGTGAATAGTTTTCTTAGGTCTTGTACCCGATTTCTTCCTCCACATGCTGCTTCTAAAAATCCTGACGTCGTTAGAATCCTAACAGCCCTAATACAGATACCCATGTAGTTCATCGCAGGAACAGAAGTGTCTTTGTGTTTGCACCACTTGAGTCCTGTCTTCTTTTGAAAGTGTCTTTTACTGATGTTGAGGTGGCCTGTGTTAATACTGTGCCTGACCCTTAGCACCATTAGCAAATTGGTTCATTACTGACCAACCTGTGTTCGTGCTTATATTTTAGCGTAGGCACACTTGCAGCAAAACGTGATTTACTCACGTTGTTTCAAATTTTCCAATTGAATAATTGCCGGTGAGCTATCTGCTGGTGTCAGCAGCAGCTGGAAGTGGTTAGGACTCAAGTTTGCGTGATGTGAAGACAAAATGCTATGAGACGCCTAGGTGTTTTTGCCCCGAATACAACCAGCACCCTACCTGGATTGTAATAAAGCTAGCAAAAGTTTGAATGACTTAATAAAAGCAAAACAGGTTCTAGAAATGTCATTTCTATACATTCTCAGTACGGATTTTGGTTATGGTTTCTCTAATTTTGTTGCTAGAGATGCCGTTGATGCCGTTAAACATTCTGTGCGTGAAGAGAAGGACCGAATGGTTCTGCCCGCCCCCCAGTGTCTTTGGGGTTGGAGAGTGGAGGGCAGGCTGGGTTGAACTCTCGCAGCCACTCACACTGCAAGTTTGCAGGAAGCACTTTATTGTGGATCTCGGGCTCCACATCAGGGAAGTGGAGTAGTTAGCGTCCTGCTTCCTGTGGTCACAGGTGTGGAGGGACATTAAATGCAATAACACATGGGAATGAATAAAGAGCATTTTTTGAGAATGGTGACAGTATGTTTTTTTTTAATGTTTATTTTGAGAGAGAGAGAGACGGAGAAAGAATGTGAGCGGAGGAGAAGGGGAGAGGGGAGGGAGAATCCCAGGCAGCCTCCACGTGGGGCTCGAACTCAAACTGTGAGGTCATGACCTGAGCCAGAATCAAGAGTCGGATGCTCAACCGACCGAGCCACCCGGGCGCCCCAACCATACAGTTTTTAGAGATGAACAGGCCGGAACATCCTGGTTCAAATGGTGCCGCGTACCGTGATGACTGTCCGTGTCCCATCTGACTGAGAATTGGTTGGCAGCATCCAGACCAGCAGGATGGTACCAGGGGAAGAGTGTGGATTCTGGGGCTGGGCGGACACTGGATCAAATTTGGGTTCAGTCATTAGCTAACTTAACGACTTAGGGCAAATCTCTTCCATTGATACCTGGATTTAACTACAAAATATTTAATATTGCTACCAGTGTGACCTCGAAGGATTGTGAGGCTATATCCTAGTAGATGCACAGTCAGCACAAACTATTATTTATTTCTGTTCTACAGGAAGTGCCCCAGAGGAGACTTGAAATATGAACTAAATCCCGGTATCCTGCCATTTATGATGCGTCAGTGGGTTGGGGCTCTGCATATTTTCTGAGCCATTTTATCAGGTTTCTTTGAAATAGAGAACAAATCACGGCTCCCCTGGCCCCCACCAAGTACATACCCCAAGTGGCATACCTCAACAATTGGTTCTTGTCATTAAATCGTCTCAGATTTCACTGTCTCTGTATCTGAACGTGGCTACTAGATTGAAGAAGATTCAACTACTGGGAAGTTGGGCTCCAGGAGATGCCTGAGCTTCCTCTTCTAAATGGCTGATCAGATTTCTGTGGACTGGTGCATTTATTCCGATTTCCACGACGGGTTCAACATGAGTAGTTCATTCATGGTGCAGGTATGTTTGGGGCGCTGGCTCTGCCCCAGGCCCTGTTGGGTTTTGAGGATGTAAAGTGAGCATGTGGGCAATAGAATGGGGATTCCCAAATGCATTTAATAGGTGTTCCCAACAGAAGGAATTGAGAAATGGGAAAAAGGCAATATTTGAAGAGAGAAGAGCTGAGCATCAGTTCGTCAGAATTGATGGCAGCCGTGATCACAGGAGACTGGGGGGAAATGACAAGTCTCAAACCCAAACAAACTTAGACACAGTAAACCGGAGAGACCCCGAGAAGCTGGCTTGCCAATCAGAGAAAAGAGATTACCAATGAGAGTTCATGAGACTGACAGCAGATTTCTTCCAGGGTTATGTTCGAGAAGACAGGAAAATAGTAAGCACTGAGTGACATTAGACCCATCTGAACTGTAACTCAGGATTGAGGCTGAAATAAAATTTGAAGACAAAACTTGCAAGTTGATCTCTAACCCTTCACGAAAGCCTTTACCTCTAACATCCCGTTTTTGGAAAAGATTCCTAAAAGGTGTATTTGAGGCAGAAAATTGAATCCCACAAGGCAAAAGTGAGATGCGCCAAGGAATAATGAGTGAAGATATTTGCAAGCATGTAGATAAAGCCTTAAACACCGACTTTATCAAACAATAATAAAACTGGCTAGTTTCAGGAGGAAAGAAGTCTAGGTAGAAATTGGCGAGCTGCAAGAGTCAATTACAGATATTCAAGATACCGTTCAGAAGAAGAGATTGTGGTTCACTTTAACTCGTTTCCAAGACCATTGTATGAAGCCAGCAGAACACCTTTACTAAACCCAGACAAGTGCAATACTTTGAAGGAAAATCGTAGGCTGAATTCATTTAACATGGTTACAAAGATGTTGTAACTGAACACAGCAATATATTAATAAACAAAACTAAATGTGACCAAGTTGTCTTTACACGAAAATACAGGATAGCTGAGCACCAGAAGAGTTAATAATTTATGATGTTAAAAGAATAAGGAGGAAAAGTAATATGCTCCTCTTGGTAGATGCAGAAATAGATTTAATATGTCAACACTCATGCATAATAAAAACATCTGAAGAGATCAGTAATAAGAAAGGAACTTTCATATCCGGACATGGCAAGTACCCATAATGCCACATTCAATGAAATAATGGAGAGCATTTTTTTAAAAGACAGGCACAAAGTACATATGTCTACTCTGCCCATTTCTTTTCAACGCGGTACTGGAAGTTTGAGCCAGACTATAAAATAAGACAAAGAAATAATGTGTAAGGATCAGAAAGCAAGAAGCAAAGCAGCCACATCTTTGCAGACGACGTAGAAATCAAAAGGATCGACAAAAGAGGGGTACAAATTAATTTTTTTAAAAAGCCACTTGCATTCCTTCTCGTCAGAAAGTTACATGACTATTAGCAAGAGAGTAGTTAGACGATAAAATTCTGCAGAGCACTTTAAAGCTAATGACCTGCAGATATTTGTGTCAATAGGGATACATCTACAAACATGTAATATTGAATAAAGACAAACTTCGGAAGGATGTATACAGTTTGGTTCCACTCATAGTTTAAGAACACGTTCATATGTAGAAAGCGAATGTTACATCAAGTTAAGGATACTGGTTACTTTTGAAAGTGAGCACAGCATGGGTTTTGCATCGGTGTCTATATATTTCCTAAACTAGATTGTGTGCACATGTACACAGTTCAAGGTTGTGTATTGTGTGTGCTCCTCTCCTGCAGTTGTTTCCTTGGGGTTGTGCGGGGGAGGGAGGTAATTAGGGTGCTTAGTTCATGGGTTTTGCTTCTCATTTTGTTTTCTGCCCTGATTCTCAGTGGGCTCCTTTCTGATCTCGTCTGAAATCTCATCATGCCTGACAAGTTTTCTCACCTTCCCCTTTTTTCTTCTTTACCACTCATTACTACCTATCATATGTATTTTACTTATTTGTCTTGTTTGTTGCCTTTTAACCCTATCAAAGTATAAGCTCCAGGAGGGTTGGGGGACTTTTTGTTCTTGTTCCTTGTTGTATGCCCAACACTAAATCAGTGCCTGGCACATAGTGGGCTCTTGATAAGTACTTGTCACATAAGTAAATATATAAACAATTGATTAAACAAACATTTATTTGGATAAAAATATCCTGCTCCTTGCTATTTCTGTGTTATAGCCTTAATCAACTGTTTTATTGTAGCCATATTAAAAAAGAAACGAACTGGGGCGCCTGGGTGGCGCAGTCAGTTGAGCGTCCGACTTCAGCCAGGTCACGATCTCGCGGTCCGGGAGTTCGAGCCCCGCGTCAGGCTCTGGGCTGATGGCTCAGAGCCTGGAGCCTGTTTCCGGTTCTGTGTCTCCCTCTCTCTCTGCCCCTCCCCCGTTCATGCTCTGTCTCTCTCTATCCCAAAAATAAATAAACGTTGAAAAAAAATTTTTTTTAAAAAGAAACGAACTATATGACAATTTCACACTCTTTTTTTCTTTAAAGATTTTTTAAATGTTTTTTATTTATTTTGAGAGAGAGTGAAAGAGCGTGAGTGGGGGAGTGGCAGAGAGAGGGAGAGAGAATCCCAAGCAGGCTTCATGCTGACAGCAAGGAGCCTGACACGGGGTGATCCCACCAGGCGTGAGATCATGACCTGAGCCGAAATCAAGAATCGGACGTTTAACTGCCTGAGCCACCCAGGCGCTCCTTGGTTTCACTCTCTTACTGTGGAATGGTGTTGGGAGTACCA